AGCGCGGCGGCGGAGACCGAGCCGCCTGGATGTTCACAAGCCGAACCCTGGGCGGCAGCGCTGGAGCGGGAGGCGGCGCCAGGCAGAGCGGAGAGCCGAGCCCGAGCGGACCGGGCGCGAGGGCTAGCACAGCCGGCGCCGCCTGTCCCGCGGCTACTGTTGTTACTGTCGAGCTTCCGGGGCGCTAAGAAGAAGCAGAAGGACCAGACTCTAAAGCCTCGGCTTCTTGGCGCGCTGGTCGAGTATTGGCTATTTATCCAACCCAACTCTTGGATTCGAACGTGGCTCCACTCCCAGCCGCGCCGGCCACTTTGGAAACAACAGCCCTGGCCGCGGTGGCTTCGCCCAGCCTCGGCGGAGTCCACGGGGCGCGAGAGCAGGCAGACCGTGGGGGACTCCGAGGGTGCCGCGGGGGGGCTAAGGGCTGATTTTGGGGCGGGGGGGCCCAACAGGAACAATTTGGGATTTGTTGTGAACAGCATGGAGGAGAATGACCCAAACCCCAGCGAAGCTGCGGCGGCGGTGGAGGGGCAGCGGCAGCCGGAATGCAGCACGAGTGGCAGTTCTGGCAGTGGCGGCGGGGGCAGCAGCAGCCCTAGCGACTCGGACACAGGCCGCCGGCGGGCTCTGATCTTGCCCGTGGTCCTGCAGGCGCCGGGCAACCACCAGCACCCCCACCGCATCACCAACTTCTTCATCGACAACATCTTGCGGCCGGAGTTCGGCCGGAGGAAGGACGCCGGAACGTGCTGTGCAGGCGGCGGTGGAGGCCGAGGAGGCGGAGAAGAAGGAGGAGGAGGCGGCAGCGCGGGCGGCGCCGAGGGAGGTGGTGTCGCCGGCGGCGCCGAGCAGCTCCTGCTGTCTGGAGGCCGGGAACCCCGGCACAATCCACCCTCTGCCCCCGGGGCGGGCGGACCACTGCCCGGCGGCGGAGGCGACTCTCCCGGCGACGGCGAAGGCGGATCCAAGGCGCTCTCGCTGCACGGCGGGGCCAAGAAAAGCGGCGACCCCGGAGGCCCCCTTGACGGAGCGCTTAAGCCCCGCGGCTTGGGTGGCGGCGATCTGTCGGTGAGCTCGGACTCGGACAGCTCGCAGGCCAGTGCCAACCTGGGCACGCAGCCCATGCTCTGGCCAGCCTGGGTCTACTGCACGCGCTACTCGGACAGGCCTTCTTCAGGTAAGTACGGCAGGGACCCGGCACCCCCTGCCCACGGCGGGGAGGCCGGCCTAGCTGCTGGAGCGGTGATGGCGCGGAAACGTTCCCATGGCCCAGCTGGAAACTTAAAGGGAGGAGACACCCCCCCCCCCAACACACACAAAGACACACACACCGCACATACAGCGACATTGTCTGCGGCTGACTCTGGCCCAGGCAGCAGTGAGGCGAGGGAGTAGGATTTGCAAGGGGGTAAAAACAGACTTACTTAGAACAACAGAAAAAAAGGACCTTCCTCTCTCTTGCAGATTGCGGCCTTACTGCGTTCCCACCTCCCCAGCCCTCCCCCGATGGTTTGGGGTTTATTTGCTGGGAATGGAGGCGGGGTGGGGGGGTGGGAGGGAAGTGACTGGAAACAAGAACTCTCAATTCCTTCTCCACCTCCTTCCAACTCAGACCATACCCGGGACCCACACCCCTCACCCCACCCCCAAACCCAGACTCTTGCTACAATCCAGTTATACCAAGTTATAGTCAGAGGGAAAAAGGGGGAAAGCGCTCTGTGCTTTTCGTCCAGGTCTTTTAGCCCTGGGCTGAGGAGGGGACGGGGTGCACAGGGTGCTCCCTGTTGGGAGGGAAGTGATGGAAAAGAGAAGTGCCCTTTTTCCTTTGCCCTTTTTTATCTGCCCGAGCCCGCCGCGTGAAGCTCTGGACCCTTCCTGCAGACAGCTAGAGGAGGGCAGGCGACTACCCGGCCCTGGAGCTTCGGAAACCCAAATAGAAAGGACCTTCTCACAGAGGTTTCTTCTGAGCTGCCCTGGGTGTGTGTGTGTGTGTGTGTGTGTGTGTGCCTGGGATGTGTGCGGGGGCGCTGGGTCTGTTTTTCATATGGCTGAGATTTTGAAAAGCTAAATTCATATTCTTATAGAAATCATTAGACACATTAAATGCGGGTCTGGGGCTAGGGAGCGCCATTAGGAACGGTCTCCATTTGTGGAGAAGGTTCCGCTAGTTCTCCACGCTGGCAGCGCCGATCGGATCCTCCCCCAGCCCCCCAGAACCCTGCACTGTTTTTGCGGGTTTCGTTTACCCAGATTACAACACAACGTACTCCTCGGCTGCTTCCCTGCAAAAATACATACGTGTGTATTTCTGAGGAAATCATACATTTTCCAGCTAGATCTGAAAATTGCCCCATTGTTCTCTCCTCCCTCCCTTTGTTAATATTTAATTAACATATAGCCTCACAATGCCCAGGCTGGGTGAGAAACCTCTGCCCGCGCTTTGTGCAGCGCGGGGAGTCGGAGCCGCCGCTAGGCCCAGGCGGAGCCCGCGGAAACCGAGCTGCCCGATCCGCATCGGTTGTCGCTGGTCTTTCTGGGTTTAAAAAAAAAAAAAAAACCGTAAGATAACGTTTTTGTTTCTTCGCATTTAAATAAGAAGGGAGTTTTCTGGTCCAAGGGTCGTGTTTGCGTTTTGAAATGAAATTAAGAAGGAGAACTAGAAATTGTGATTTTAGGGGGATTTTTCATCCGTAAAACACTATGTTTTTTTTTTTTTTTTTGAGGGCTGGTGTATGTGCATGAACCAGAACCCGACGACCAGTGGAGCTGTGGGTACGGGGAGCGGGCTGCACCGTGAGCTAGGGGAGAGGCAGAGAGCCAGCCGACGCTGGGCTCTGTGCTCGGCTTGTTCCGGATCAGCAGAGGGGATGGGCTGGCCGAGGTCACCTCCCACATGCTCACCGTCAAATATTCTCTTTCTGCCCTCCTAGCCCTGGAGAGAGAGAGCGGAGGGAGAGAGTTGGGCCCTACCAGACCCTAATCCCAGTTGGCTTCATCAAGCAAGGCCCGCGGAGCGGAGCCGGACTAGCGCGGCTTAGGCGAGAGTGACCCTGTGCGTGCTTGGGGCGGGGGGTTGGGGTGTGCGCGAGAGTGGGCATAGAAACGAAAAGGCTCAGAGTTTGACTCCTAGCTGTCTTTAGCGTCTTTCTCCCTCCCTCCCGCACAGCCCCTCTTTCCAAGTTTGCTTCCCAGAGGAAAGTGCAGGGTTCGTGGCGATTGGAGGGAGTCCCCGGGCCTCGCCCACCCGTTCTGGGAAGTGCCTTGCAGGCCGCAACCCTTCGAATTCCCTCCACCCGGCGCTACTGGGAGGCGGGGGAGGGGCGCCGGGCGGCCCGAGGGAGCGGGTCTGAGAACCCGCCTTTCTCCAGAGCTCTCCCGCCTCCTGCCGCAGGCACCTCGGAGGAAGCTGGAGCAGGGTTCTCTTCTCCCCAAAAGTTTATTCACAAGCCTCCCCAATTCATAAACCTGGTCTTAAGGTCACAACTCCTTCACCCAACGTCCCTGTCCTGCCGCTTCCTTCAGATACCCTGATGTCTACCTTTGGGGGAAGTTCCAGGGTTTAGCTTCTTGACACCCACAAAAAAGCACGCCAGCCGCTGCCCTCTCCCTGCTCCCCTGACCGGGGCCTTTTCCGCTGGACTGCCCTAGGAGCCTTAAAACCGCCGGCCAGAACCCAGCCGCAGGCCGCATGGGGCGGCACGCAGATGAAGAGGCAGGGCTGGGGTGCAGAAGACAGACTCGTCCCCCCACCTGTCCGCTGTTCCCGCCAGTCGTCTCCGGCCGGGCAGCTCCGGGTCTGGCCGGTGGGCCGGCAGCCTCTGGAGCCGAGCAGAGACCAGGTCACCTCTCCGGTTCCTGAGGGGTTGGAGAGGCTTCCAAAGGGTGAAGGGGGCTGCCTAGTGGTTCCCAGCCCCGGACCAGAAAAGGATGTTTCCTTAAAGGAAACGACGAATTTGGGCAGACTGGACCATCAGTGGAATACAGAAGAGGGGAGAGGTGGGGTGGGACACTCAGCTTCTGTGCTCAGGGCCCACCTGCCACCTGATGCCCACAGCCCTTGGCACACTGCACAGTTCCTGCAACTGTTGAGGTCTCCTACTGCTTCTCTAGCTACCCCAACATCTTCCCCAATCTTTCTCCCACACCTCTCCCTGCACCTACCCCCTCTTTCTTTTTTTCTGGGAAGATCCTCAGAAGGGGCTGGAAAAAGTCATTCGAGGAAATTTTTTCATTTATTATTTTGCTTTTCTCTGGAAGTTTTACTCTTATCTGGAGACCCCTCTGTTTGTGACTGACCTTCCCACTAAGCCCGCCCAACCCCTCCTGCCGGTGAGCTGTTACCCCTACTCACACTCTACACCCAGACTTTTCTTGCCTATCTTCTCACTCTTCAGGGGTCAGTCATGGAGCTCTGGGGTGAGCCCAAGCCCCGTCCAAAGTCCAGCCTGACTTCCTGCTAGTTCAGAGGAGTTGCTACTGCAGCTGAGTGTCTAGTTCAGCCAAATGGCTAGTGCAGCTGAGTGGCCTTGTACGAGTCACTTCCCCTCTCTGCACCTCTTTGTCCTGCCCATAGAAGGAGGAATTTGGACACTGCCTCCCAGGTGGTGTCTGTTGGGGTTACCTCTGCGAAAGGAGGTAAGCTGTCGTAGCATCTGTGGGTGACCCATGTTCTCTGTCCATCATGCCTACCCAGGTCCCAGGTCTCGCAAACCAAAGAAGAAGAACCCGAACAAAGAAGACAAGAGGCCACGCACCGCCTTCACCGCGGAGCAGCTGCAGAGGCTCAAGGCAGAGTTCCAGACCAACAGGTACCTGACCGAGCAGCGGCGGCAGAGCCTGGCGCAGGAGCTCAGCCTCAACGAGTCGCAGATCAAGATCTGGTTCCAGAACAAGCGCGCCAAGATCAAGAAGGCCACCGGCAACAAGAACACGCTGGCTGTGCACCTCATGGCGCAGGGCTTGTACAACCACTCCACCACGGCCAAGGAGGGCAAGTCGGACAGCGAGTAGGGGATGGGCGGTGGGTGGGCAGGCATCGGGATCCAGTTTTCAGTCCATGTTAAACAATGCAATAATTTAAAAACATAACGGGCCAGTGTATAAAGATTATACCAGCATTAATAGTGAAAATATCATGTATTAGCTATGATTCTGCAATATTCTGTGTATATATAATTTACAGGTGGTGTAAAATCCAAAATATCTGACTATAAAATATTTTTTGAGTTTTTTTGTGTTTACAAGATTGTGCTAATTTTATGGGGGTTTTTTTGTTTTTTGTTTTTTGGTTTTTTTTTTTTTTTGGCAAGGGGATCTGTTTAGGGTTTCATCTCTTTTAATCCCCTAAACTCCATTATGGGACATTGAACATTGTTTTTTTTTTTTTTAAATTCAAAAAAAGAAAAAAATTAAAACAACTTGCTGAAGTCCAAAGATTTTTATTGCTGCATTTCACACGACTGTGAACCGAATAAATAGCTCCTATTTGGTCTATGAGTTCTGCCACTTTGTTTATGTTGGCTTTGGAGTGAGGACAGGTAGGAGGCTCCCAGGCTTCCAACACCACCCCCGTGCCCAGAGCCTCTGAGCGTGAGACCTCAACGCCCCCAACGCCCCCAACGCCCCCAACGCCTCGTTGGTCTCCGGTAGCGGCAACCCGGGGACTTGGAGGGAGGGGGAACTGTCAGGTCCTCTGTTCTTTGAACGAGTTCTGGAGCTTGTCTGTGGGAACTGGCAGCGCCAGGGCCCTAGGGCTTGCCCTGGAAGTCAGGGCAAAAGCCCAGTGGGCTCCCTTGCCCTCCATGTCCGCTGGAGGCCTGGGAGGAGGCCCGGCAGGCTCTGCCCGCTCCCCGCCCGAGCTATCCCCTGGCTAGGCCCGGCTGGTGCCTCCTGCGAGCCGCTGGCAGTGTCTGGACCACCCCCCCTGCCCCGCCAATGCAGCCGGCTAGAGCGGAGTGCAAACCCTCCCATCCCTTGGGTACCACCGCCTCCGTACGCTCCAGCGTCTCCAGCCTCGTGGCTAGCCCCACGAGCTGTGGGGCGGATGTCTGCTTGCTCGCCCAGGCCCGGGCCAGGGGAATTTCCTGCTGGACAGCAGCCATCCCAGGCTCCAGCTCGGGCCCTAGAAAGTAGACCAAGGTCCACCGCCTTTGGGGTGGCAGAGGGCTCCCAGAGAGGTAGCTGGTTTTCTTCCTTTCCTTTTTTTTTTAGTAGATGTTTCTGCTATAGAGAACATTTCTTCCAAGTATGTGTGTGTGTGTGTGTGTATGCATACATATATGCATACACACACACACACACACACACACACACACACAAGCAGACATGAATGAATGAGCCCAAAGTATTGGAACATGTGGCTACCTTGACTTTAAAAGGAACTCAGAATCCTCCAGGATCTAGATGAAGAAAATGTGTAAATAATCATTTCTTATCACTTTTTGTCTTTTCTTGTTTTTTTAATATACATTTTATTTTTTGAACGTGTGGTACAGTGTAAATTAAATATATTCAATATATTCCTCACCAAGCACATATATATACACACACACATTATATATATATATATATATATAATTCTACACTGTCTTCTGTTTAACGTATGGGAAGAGAGTCCAAATGTCTATCTGCGGTGGGAGACAGTGAGGGGTACTTGCTGCAGTACTGAGCTGACTGTGGCTGTCTCCATGAGGACGGAGGGTGAACTTATCTCTTTGCCTTAAACTTCTTTATTTCACTGCTATAGTAGTTCCATTTTGTACATAATAGTGTAATTCTTTTTTTAAAAGGAAACTATAAAAACAAAAGTTGTAATTTAAAATTCTGTGAATAACCATCTGCTGCTTAGGAAACTCAATGAAATGACATGCCTTTTTAGGAGAAAACAGCTTTTTTTTCAGTTTATAAAACATGTGCATTTTACGGTTGCAGTATCAGATATTTATAATCTTATGAGAAATGAATGTTTCTATTTACAACTGTGGTTATCAAAATTGTGAACATTCCCTCTGCATTTTTTGTGTGTTTAAACTCTTGAAAATTACATTAAATAAATAATTTTTAAAAACCACTTTATTATAAAATCCTTGATGCCCGAGGTGGAATGACTAGTTTTTCTGAGGTGTGTTTCTGAGTCCACAGGAACTGCCCCGACATGCTTTTGCAGGCCTGGGTGGACGTGACTTCTGCCCTTTGCCCAAGCACGGATGTGGGTGTCTACTTTTGTAGCCAGAGGTGTAATTTTTAAAAGAAAATGATGCAGACACTTTGGATAGCTCGTATGTTAGCACAGAACAACCAAAGTAATTTAAATCCACATTTCCTTCCTAGGAGGAAGTGTTCAAAATAGTTGCTACTCCATTAAATAATTTTTTAAAATTCTGTAGAGTTCAACAGGTTTCCCTTTCTCCCTAGCTGCTCAGTGGCTTCGTTCATGTACACCGGATGGAGGTGCTTGTCCCCTGTGAAGAGTCTTACCCCAAGTTAGACAAAGAAGCTCTCCTTTTTTAAGTGTCCTTTTTCTTTAGGTTCTGTTGTTACCTGCAAAAGCGAAGGGCGTTGTGAAATATCCCAAGCAGGCTGCAGGGGAAGGGGCCAGGTCTGTCTGTAGGGATGGGCGGGCTCGACCCCCTGGAGTCTCCTGGGGCTCCCGAAGTCCTCTGTTTGCCCCAGGAACTGTTTGGGATCTGTGAGCCTTAGACCCCCGGTCAGCGCTGCTACTCGGAAAGCCTGCTGCTGTACCTGCTCACCTCACGTCTGTATTTCTAAACTTTCTTGGCTTACGAAAAGTTTTTTTCTCCCAGTAAAAGACAACTAACAGCCTAGTGAGGATAGCCTGTCGCCAAAGTGACCTTTTAGGGGGTTTTGTTTTGCTGCCAGCCAGCAGGCAGTCGGTCTTTGCGGCGGTGGCGCAGGGCCTTCCAGGGCCTGGCGGCCTACGGACGCGGCCGGCTAGGCGAAGGGGGTCCCGGCGGCCGGCAGTCTCCAGCGGGGCTGCTTCCGGGAGTTTTGCACAGACACACCAAGCTGGAGTGCTAAGATCTTACGGTGGAGGCGCCGCAGTCCCCGCTGCTCTGGTACAGGAGCCAGCGCGCAGGGTCACCGTCCATGGGGGCGGTATCACTTAGAACATTCCCAGCAGCTTTTCTGCCTGCCCCCTCACACCTCTGTACGGTTCTGAGGATTCCTATATTAAAAACAACCACACCACAACAAAAACCTAGCACAAGTTTTTAACTACTGGCCGCTTTTAAAAAAACTGGCCTGCTTTTCAATAAAAAGGTATAATAACAACATTACAGATCATTCTTGTTTTTAAAAAATTTGTTCTCAAATCATAACACTGGTTAAACCAGGGGTAATGTACAGCTTTGTGAGGTAATGAGTTGCCTGATCCCAGAGGTGTTCAAGCAGACACTAGGCTTACAGTGTATGATGAGCTTATTTCTTCTTTGTCTATCCTAGGGACTAGATGAGCCCTCAAGTCCCATGAAAAGCTGAGATTCTATTTTTGCTCTTATGTTTATTACATCTTCTTATTTAACAGCCTACAAACTTAACTTGTAACTCCTGGGAAGTCACTGCTGAGCCACAAAGCCTGCTCTCCTCTGGGGTGAGTTGAGACCAGAATCCGGCCCTGGGAAAGGAGGCCTCCTTTCTGAAGTCCACCCGGCCCGCTCGGTGCCGCCTTTCCCTCTGCGGCTCTGCGTGTGCTTGATCTGGACCTCCACTGAAGACCCTGAGAGTTAGTGGAGCCCTGCGGTGGTACCCCCCGCCCCCCATTGTCGTCCCCGCTGGGAGGCTGCTTTCCTAAATGTAAGAGTATATCCATTTAGGAGTATAAACACAGTCCTTGCTTCTCAGAGCTGAACGAGGGATTGGCCCCCCACCTCCCTGCTGAACAGCCCCCACCTCCAGGCCTAGCTGTGTCCTAACTAGGCATGGGTGGACCTAAGCCTCCTGGTTCTTCCACATCCTCCATAACCCGGCGGAAACTAGGCGACGGCCTGGGAGCCCCGGCACTGGAGGAGCCACCTGGCCCCCACATCTCCAGGAATAGGCGTCCCTGTGAGGGTGCGGGGTCGCGAGGGCCTAGCCTGCTCCTTGGTCCTCAGAGGTCCTCAGGCTGCTCCTGCCTCTGCCAAGAAAGGGGTCGGATAAGTAGGGGACAACCCCCAAGCTGAGTCAGGGCCTGAGGATAAGGACAGGCTTGACCAAGGTCCTATGTGGACCCGCCATGCGCTTTATTTCTCTAAGGAGACGAGCGGCGGAGCTCAGCGCACGGCACCAATCTGATCACCAAGAAGGATCCACTTTTCTTTTTTTTCCTGGAGTGAAAAGTACAAACCGATGGGGCGCGCAGACTGCCTGGCATAGGTGTGCACCGGCAGGCTGCGCGCAAACAAATACCCAGACACTATATATGCAAATATGCGCGCCGGCCCGGGAGGGGCTGGGGGAGCGGGGGAGGCGCTTGTTCGCTCTGCTCTGCTAAAAAGTCCTTCTGTCTCCAGCTGGTTTAATATCCGACCTGCACATTCTCTGCCGGCCCCAGCAGCTTCCCAAGCGCCCCTGGGAGGGTCCCGGCTCCGCCGAAAACTGCCGCCCGCGAGCCGAAGCCGCCGCGCGCTGGTAGGTTGATAGCCACCGACAAAGGGCCACAGCGCGATTTCCAGGACCCAGATCGCCGGACGAGGCAGAAAGCAGCCTCTGGGAGAATGATCCCCCTGCCGCGACACACCCACCCACACCCATACACATGTACTGCAGCCCCCTCTCGGGGTCTCGGTGCAGGGACCCATCTTCCGCGCGTCTCGGTTCCATCTCCGGCCAAGGGCGAAACCTTCTCTAGGCCTCGAAGTGGAGAAGGGCGGCCAAAAGCGGGGCAGAGCTTTGGGCTCTCCCCGGATCCCGGGGGCTGGCAGACCCCTTGGCCCCGGGAGCCTAGAAGGGAGTGGCGTAGAGGCGGTGTGTCGGCTTCCAGGAGTTTCCGTGTGCGCGTTCGAGAGTTG